CTTACTGTCATCTAGAAAACTGGTGTGTTTAAATAACAAGAGTGTAGATGCCCCTGGACGGCAAAGATGCGTCTGCTTGTCCCCTGTTACTTTTTTAACATATAGTAAAAGTTATAATACAGGTCAGTCCCTCTTTAGACTGCTGAACGAAAGAAAGTAAATTGCGCGATCTAAGTACACGATAGAAAAAAATAGTCGAGTCACTAATGTTTTCCAAAATCATTCCAGGAAAGGAGTAGGCGTGATGAGAATTCGATGTCCTTTTAAGTCCTAAGGACGCACTGAGAGACATACCTTGCTCCCATATACTTTGGGTTATTGGTTCTGTTACAAGCCCTGTTGAAAACAGAATTCTGAGGAGAAAACCCGGGGAATATTGGCAATGTACTATCTTTTGGCACAGGAGATAATTTGTTGGAATACGAGCGACAGAACAACTGGTATAGCCACGGTACTTCCCGCGTACCCTTGTGAGTTTAGTTTCCAAATGACTGACGTTCTACCGAGTCCTTGGTGTGCCAACTGACATTCAAAATTTAATCACGTAAGTGCACTTCGGCACCAAGTGTCTCACAAATCCACACAACAATTTTTTTCACTTGTAAACCCCTTTTCAATCGACTTATGTGCTTTGATCGTAATTTTAGGCTGTGATATAAACTATATTGATACAGTTAAATGCTAGTTTGGAAACATAAGTTTTTCGCGTGTATTAATATTTCACTTCATTATATTCATCCCAAGTACCCCTTTTGGTGAACGCACCGGACTGCAACTGCCGCGAATTCTATTTAGTCCTCCTGGGACTATTTCGGCATTAGGTTGTGAGAGGCTAGTAGTTCAAGCAGAATGCTTACCTACATCTTGCTCCAATAATGAAGTCTCGAATCAACCCGAACCCTCTGATATTTACCACCTTAGAGTTAAAATTTTGGAAACACTATGCACCAAATTTGTGCATTTGTTTTGTTTGTGATAACTTAATTTCCTCGTCGCAAACGTTTTCAGTGCCTGTTGGCTCCTACATCATGCTTTGCTTCAAGCAATAAATCAAATGTTGAGGAGCAGAAAAGACACTTGCATACAGTGATGGCAAGAGTACAAGATGTACCCAAGAAATCAGCTCAAATAGCTAATACCTTTAAAAATTACTCATGGAGTTCCTTGTGGCGGTTTTCTTTAAATAAATATTTGGGAATCGAAATTTCCATTACTTTGAAATTCATCCAATATTTTTCTGCTCACCAACCATCAGCCACTAAATGCACGAGCTGTTTTGTTGCCTTCTGACTGTAGTCGCTTGTATGTCCAAAGTGTCTCACATTGTCACTTGTATTGATGTAAATCCGAATATTGTTCCCAACAAAGACGTCCGTTGATGTTGATCATCCTATTTATTTAGCACAATTCATTCATCACCTGTTTGGCGGCTAAACGCAGTGGTCCTTAGCTATAGTCCCAGCTGCTTCCCATTAACGAGGCGAAGATGTGGAACCCTGAACTTGTTCAGCACACCGCAAGCCGCAAAGCCTTGGGGACTCAAACCTTTCCACAGATCTTACTTTATCAGTTGAAGACTACTAAGGTCGTCAGATGTGGAGAATATTGGTGGTCTGACAAAAAAACTTGTCTGGAAACCCCCAGCTGGTGGCTAGTAAAAACGATTGCTAAACAAGTATCTTTCACAAGTGGTAACTATTGCAACTGAATCGTCCCCGCTCACTAGGACAGTAAAGTCATCCTTTAGAATGGCAACAGAACTTTTTGCCATCGAAAAACTACTATATTATGTTGTATACTGTATGTATGAACAGATTTAATCGCAACATTTGCTTACTTGCACCACATTAGCTTGCATATGCCCAAGAAATGCTTGTAGATTGGTAATTCAGACTAGGTGTTTACCTTAACTCGTTAGCAGTTACAGAAACTCGAATTCGTCGCATTAGTTTGCGGACTCTTATAGCCAGGAGCTGTTTGGAAAAAGCATACAAGGCAAAAGAATTTCATACTACGTCTCATAGGAAAGGGATGACCAGTATCACGAGTTAACATTTTCTTGCGTTTTTACTGATGTTTGCTGCACACGAAGTTCCCTAGAAAGCAGCCAAGAAGCCAAGAAGCTTAGAAGGAAATATCACACACGACAGCATCTCAGTTATGGGCAAAGCTGACTTTTAATTTTTAAGGATCCACACTACTAGCAAAAAATGCAGCGGGACAATTCGCATTTTTCATAGATTTCAAACAACTGCAAAGCAATTTCCATTTAGTCTGCACTTGAGAATCACACATCGCATAACTTCAAATATAGTGCTTCGACTTGGCGAATAACTCTGTAACTATGAAAGCGATATGATATTATGAAAGGTGATAGTGGCGGATAGTTGATGCCACTGCATTCTGCTGTGAATTAAAATGTAGGAGAATATTCTGGACATTATGTAAACCATGAGAGTGATGTACCATTCAAGTAAATGCAACGTTGTCAAAAGTAGTTTTTGGAGGACACGCCAATTGCGGAACACATTGCCTACCCTCCTAAAATTTATGTAAAGGCGTTTTTTGATTGTCAACCCCAGGTAGATTTTCAGATAACAGCTATGTTTTGGCCTCCGGTACCCAGGCTGTTTCTTACTGGTGGGATTTTGTTTGGCTGAAACAAACTACCAAGGCCTTGTCCTATGATTGCCTACTGGGCAGAATGCCTTTGGCTACATCTTTTAAACCACATACACTCTTTTACACCGTTCAGGAAGTTCGGCAAGTTTTGGAAAACATCATTTTCATTAGGTAGGCAGTGTCTCCGGTTCCATTTTGGATAATTGCCATATAACTATTTTAACATCATTAAGTGGCTCTGAAAAAGCTCCACCCCAGTTAACGCTCCTGATGTTGTTTTGCTAGTTGTACTTGTGACCTGAAAATAGTGTGGTGGCCCAAATATAGCTGCCTACTCTGTGCAATAGCCTGACGATAATTGGTATCTGGCCGGCTGACCGAACCCTTGTATACTCCGAGGCATCTATGAAGTACCTGAACCAACGCCTTCAGAGTTCCCTCAAGCAACTTTTTCCGCCTGTTCAAACAGCGAGTCTCATTAGGCAGTAAGGAGTGCTGCGCATGTTGCCGAATTTTCGAATCCTGTACATCTCGTGTACCATACTAATATTATACTTTGGTTGACCGGCCGAAACCTCAAGGTGATTCTAGATTTTCGTGTATGAATTCATAATCGTATTTGCGTCCTATTGCCATTTTTGTTGTTTTTAATACAGAGGTTTGCTAAAAGGTCGTCAGTGGTGTTCTTATGCTGGCTTATGAGTTTTAACGAGTTCGCCCCCTATCCTCAGAAAACAAGGCGTTCTGGCTACATTTGAGCCACCGAATTTAGGCAGAACTGCAGTTCTAAAAAACAATGGAGATAAAAAACACCAAGAGTGGTGTAGGGGATTCCTTTTCTTCACATTTGCTTCTCATCACAGAGGCATTATCCTAATAGACATTTCCAAGACGCAACATTTTGAACATTTGATATCAGTTGAATCTACATCCAGTGCATTTTAGCCTACGCAGTTCCAAACAATTATCCATGCATCCTGTCAAGGTCACTAGATTCCAGTGAATGGAACAGACAGCTTTTCATGAATTTTGTGCGGGAACCCTAATGTTAATCTGATAGGGGTTCTTCGGCGGCATGCGGCTTGCGCTTAAACTTTCCACCAGGTGTTACATAATGAATCCGTCTACAAACCTACAAGCACGTTTTGATTCTTCTGTGAAGGGCTACAAAAAAACGCCGAGGGTAACGGGCTGATCTAGCTTTTTAAATGAACCAATCTGAGTGGCAGCCCAAAAAGTTAAAGTTTCTAATGAAAACTAAAGTACTGTTCTTTACGGATAAAATCTGCATGTGCAATGGCACCTTTTGGATGACAGTATATTCTCTCAAATTGTCATCATTAGAAAGCAAAATCTTCGTAATGATCTGCCCCTTACTTCATTCTGTATGCCAACGATGACTATATCATACAAAAACTACAAAAGCATAGTACAAAAATGAATTCCAGTTTCTTGGTCTATTATGAACATTTGGAACGCGTGTAGCGTAGTTTTACAAAATGTGTTAAGCTTGCTGTTTATAAATATTATGCCATATACTACCAAAAAGATTGAAAAAATCGTCAGATTTTTTGCTTCGAACTGTCACGAGCATATTTGCTTTTCTTTACATAACCAAAACTGGTTCTGGAAAAATTCTGGCTTTGCTTGTTTCGCCCAAAGTCACGTGGAATTGGATCACATAAGCAATCGTTCGGCAAGCGTCCTTCAAATAACGGGCAGGGCGTTGGGATTCAACATCCATTCCAGCAATTTCGATCCATTCTTGGCTGTACAATTATTTGAAAAAAATGTCTGAAACCGCAGCTGATATTAGCAAGACGTTTTCTGTCACTCCCACCCGCTGACCTACAGTCTAGTTAGTTCATGGATTCAATTACAAAACTACTTCACCCATTCTTTTATTAGGAGTCTACCATTATTGCTTATCCTAGTAATCCGGGTCATGTTTTGAGCGACTTTGAGCACCTGTATCAGTAGTTAACTAGTTTAATAAAACGCATCATGTGGAAAAACCTAGTTTATTTCACTTCAGAATACTTCACCGACAAACTTCCATTCTTTTAGTGTCGGTAACCCTATAACTGTTACCTGCAGGACTATTGGACAAGTAGGGTTGTTCTTGTCTGATATATCGGCTATAATGTCCTGCTTCAGTATGAGGTTAGGTGAGTTAATTATCTCAACTTTCATGTACGACAAATGTATCGGTTTAACATGCACAAAGGTATCGCAAACACGCGCTTATCTTCTTACAAGACTTGGGTACCACACAATATAGACGGTTACGTTAAAAAATATTTCCGTCAACCAATAGGACCTAGGCATATGTTATGGACACCTATGGGTATTTCATCAAATTCTGCCATTTATTTAAGGTTCCACTTCAAAAGTGAAGTCAGTCTATACGGGTAAGTGGATTCGGAGGGCTATTTAATCACACTGCTAACCACCTGTTTATGGCCGAAGAGTGCAGCCTCTAGCTAATGGAGGGAAGGTTGATTGGTATTATTTACCTGGGTCTTCTTGAGAAACACAATTTTGTGGTTCCCACCAGGGACGAAACAGATATGCAGCGCAAGCTGGACTTACCTTCAAGAAGGAAATCTATATTAAAATTTTAAACTCTCACCATGCCGTCATTAAATAACGCTGCCTTTTTTCAGGACCGGGAAGTTTAATGATCTTTTTAAAGTTCATTCATCATAGGAAAATATCCTTATTGGACAGTGAAGTGTTGATATTTCCCTCTAAAGTTGCCTCTGGGATCCCCTTTGAACATTATTCGGTTCCTTTGAAAGTATTTCATAGGTTGCAAACGAATATTAAACCACAGCCTAAAGGACCAAACAGCATCACCAGTTTTTGCAAAATGAGGTGTTGAAAAATCGAGTTTTTAGCGAAACATGGTCTATTGGGAAATTTATGGTCTCTCGTTAAGTTACTGTTAGATTTTGCTGTTGTTGATTACTGTTTTCCGGGTACGAAAGGCTTCCCTCAAGATTTGTTATAATCTATTTTATTTCCGTTGTTCCGATGCATCAGCTTACACAGTGTGATATTCCGCAGACAAGTTCAAAATTCTGAGTACTGCAGGTTACTTCGCAGGTGAATAGTCTTGGTGATCTGATAACTCATTTCCTTTCCCTATTAATCCTGAATAAACATCATTTAACACATCATTTAACACATCATTTCCACATGTCAGTCGGGTTATTCCTAATCAACTTGGGAACCGTCATTTCGGAGCAGTCAGGCGAACATCTCGCACACAGCCTGATTGCCACAAAGATGTAATTAAAACTCCAGACAATAAGAAAGTTTCTTTCAAAAACAAGCAAAATGTGGCGATGGTCAAAGAGGGTCCGCTGCTGCACAGCTATGATTGTCATCACAGCTTGCCGAAGATCATCAATTCGCTTGATAAAAACAAAAGAGTAGAAAATTTCAGGGGCATAATTAATGGTGAAATGGCTTACTGTGTTATCCCATTATTAGTGAATGCATACACTTCTTTTGAACTTTTATTTCTCAGACGCAATTTTCGCCGTACACAAATCGGATAAATCTGCTAATAACTATCGGGCACTGCTGTGTGTAAGCTGTGTGTATTAAATGTGAGTGGAAGATTCCGGGGACAGTTAATATTCAACTTATTAATTTTGAGAGTGAAATTTGCCGGTGAATATCGGCTAATTAAGGTTGTCATTTTCGTGCAAATGATAATTTTTATTCTGTTTGGCGGATCAAGATTTGTCAAATGTTAGCATCTCTGTAATGCATATCTATCCGTAGCATTTGCTGCACAAAACTAATGCTGCCTTCTTTTCTCCCTCTGGCATCGAAATAAAACAAAAGTATTGCTCTTGACAGAGTGCTGTTGAAAACATGGAACTGATCACCGACAACCTAATGGGTATTCATACTCACTGACAGTGTGTGAACGTAATTATAGGATCTTATCCTTGGTGAAATCGGTTGTCTGCTGGTCTAAAATGTTTCACTTCTATCCACCAGTAGTGCAGTAACGATACAAAGACAAGCGGTCATATTGACGTGGACGATCATCTGTGTAATCCATCAAGCGTCTGCGGACCTGGTTGACTGGCGGGTCAATCGATCGACACGACCAAGTTACGTTACTGCGTCGTCAGGCTTTTCGCTGGCATCACCCAAGCGCAAACACCTTCAGCTGCTCAAACGTTGACATTGAAATTTGTCCAGCGTAGGCTGGTGGAGTAGAGGTAACACGCCGGCCTCGCAAGTCAGATGTGCGCAGTTCAAAACCCGGCACGGCAAAGAACGTGCGTTGCCAATGAGCTCTAATGAGAGAAAAACGATATTCCAGTGCGGCTACCATTAGGTATGGCCTTACCGAAACAATGTTGCAAACGATAGTCATGTGTATGCGCGTTGAAAAGAATACTACAACCAAGAACACTTGAATCGTGAAATGTGCAGATAAGTTGTAATCCCAGCAACTCATCACTGTAACCTACGGGCTGTACTGCTGAACGGAAGAAAGCCTTCGTTGCGGAGTTATTTATTAGAAAATGCCAACTGACCAGTTAGAGATTATTGGATAGGGAAGCAAGACTCTCATATGCATCTTGTTTACAAAAACTGAACATTCATCTTCTCTTGAACGCGTCTTTCTGAACTTTCCTGGATATTCATTGACTGTTGCTCGAATCCAAGCAAATGCTACAAAGCGACTCCACAAATTCCGCAATAGATCTCCCTTTTCAAGAGACGCAAAGCGAATGCACCCCCATCAGTAGTACCACCGTTACACTGGTAGTACTAGAAATATGTCGAAATATACGGTTACATTATTTAACTGCTAGTGAATGGAGAGAAAACATCGTAATGCCGCGATTCGCAATAAATTAATCGATATCAACCACCAGATTAACACACTGAGGCATTTACTGAATTTCACCTGATAGATACCGTGTAGCTTTTCAGCTGATCCTCGCTGCGCGTGAATCCATAGCAATCAGATGAATGAATAAGTAGCTCCGTGATCAGAAATGACTTGGTCAGCATGTTTAGAGGGGACATCAGTAGATCCACCAAGGTGTCAAAATATTTATGTGAATGCTTCATTGGTCGTCCTTGCAATCCTATACTTTTAGTTTATTTCGTACGCTTTCGTGTCGGTTGAAAATCGTCAGAGGAGAGGAGAGAGAACAACTCGTGATTTCCTGAATTATTGCATCACACAAACTAACGAATTAAAGCTAACGTGTTGCAAATTCTGTGAGAATTACTGCTACTAACCTGCTGAAAGGCTTGCGTAATGCAACAACCGACATCCACAAAGAAATTCATTTTCCTTCCAACTTCAATATTTGTTGAGTTTCCGTTACAGAAAATCTTTTGACCAGAGAGATGCGTCTAAAATCTCCGAAAAAAAAGAATTTCCACTTCCTCTGAAGCTTCAAGTTAGTTCTGCAGTGATTTTCAACATTCATATCTAGTCTGGAGCGATACCTCTCAACCGGCTTTGGGAAGGATCGGTATGCAAATGCATGCCTACATAACTGATCACACCCGGCTTCCAAGCAAAATTTCTGTGTTCCAAATGAAAATTTCGTGCATAGCATCCGATAACACAGATTAAGCCTGCAGATTAGCTGCTTTACTTTTGTTGAATGAACTATCCGCTGCTGCCTAAAAATTTGTCTTGACATTGGTGGTGCACCGACTACAGATAAATTTTATAAAACTACCACTTGACCATTCAGTCAGTTCATTGAAGAAAACCATCATGAGCAGTATTGTGAACAAAAACCCTCGGTTGGTAGTGTGTAGTCATGTCATAACGCTCTCTCGGGCAAGCTTTAGTGAATATTATTTTAAATTATCGGTCCTCCCTGTTATTTATATCTGATGTTCTTCAACTATTCAGAAGAATTTCGGCTGGCTTCCAGGCCTGGGAATACGTCTTGTTCCTGATGTCTGTTAAACTTATTTTGGTCTTTTTGAAATAATTTATTTTGTATTGCTCTTGCTCTCAGACTGGCCAAAAGCTTTGGAACAATCGCTGTCAGTTGAAATTTTTCATAAAACATGCAGTACCAGCTGCGAATCATGGCCACAGAAGCTAGCATTCAAATCACTCTGTTGACGGGTTTTCCGAGGGTTGAATGACTTTTCTTGTCTGGAAAAATTTCCGCAGCTGGCTAAAGGGATGACCAGAGCTCTGAATAGGTTGAGTAGACGTAACATAAGCGTGTTCGCATGAATCATAGAGACCGGATAGCATGAGAAATTTTCCAAGCAATTTTCTTTGACAGAGTAATGACGTTAGCTTGCCGGAAATCAAGCGTCCTAGCAGGTATCGATTTTATGGAGATATTTCTGTTCATAATAATAAATTGTGTGTTTACGTGCATACGTAAGAGCTGTACAAAGAACTATGAGTTTGAGATATTTCACTGTTTGTTCAGCTAATGCCGCGACTATTGCACAATGTTAATTTTATTTATTAGAATCAGCCAGCTGCCAGGGCTGAACTCTTTTTAAAAAAACTTACTTTTTTAACGTCAGTTGGTGACTAGATCTAACCAAGGGTATTTGCCAGAGTATTACCTATTTATAAATTCTAAAACAGACCCAACCGGTTTATCAACAGTGAAGATAACACTCACCTTATCCCAGTGTTGATTGCGGGGAATGACTTTCGGACGAGATGCCTATAATTATTACCGAATAGCGACTTTACTATGATAACTTGCTGCGGTAAAACTGAATAACCGCAGAATTTGCCATGATAATAGCGTGGAATGAGTACTTTTTCTTTGTGGACTGAACATTGCCCATCCGACTGTCATTTTACTCATCCTCCTCATCGACATCATCATCAAAATCACCATGCTTATCAATCGATTCGCCATTGTTATTTGTCACGTAATCTTGCCATGTGGATTCCAAATCTGGCATCATTGGACCAAACAGGAGAAAATCTCCGTCGTATTTTCTCAATGGATGCATTTAAAAAGTATTTGTCGTCGGACAGGACAAAAGACTGTTAGTCTCTCATTTCAACATCGTGATGGTGTTTTAGAGAACTGCTTAGTTGTTACTTTCTTTCCGTCGCCAACTTTAGTGATCGACCCTGGCCTAAGTTTGATATTTGCCAACATTGAAAAGTCTGTTCATCCAATATAAAGTTCACATAGTATTGGAATTGTTTAGGCATTTGAAGCAGTGTCACCCTTATTATGATGCATCATATTCTTATGATTATATCATAAGGGTTCATTCCACTCCACTTCTCTGGTACATTTGCTATTGGTGACAGGGCTGGATAAGATTTTTGGACTATTGATCCCGGTACTGTAATGATTGGTTGGACATGTGCTTACCACCAAGTTGTGTGTATTGAGACTCAAAGCTAGTGGGG